AACAAGGTGAGTGATTGGAGCCTTTGGGATCTCAGTAGTTCGTTGAAAGCACATCCTCCTGTTTTTGTCTAGATAGAACATCCCGTGTTCAGGAGCTGAGATGAATTGATGCTGAACCGGATCAACACCTAGAGGAAGTGAATTGTTAATTGCACCAGCACCAAAGTCTAGAACCAATACATCTTCACCATCAACATGAAACTTGGTTCTTCGAGATCTAGGAACTAACGACCTTTGGCCTTGATGCTGAGGTCATTCTTTAGGAACAAGATCCAAACGCTGAACTTTCTTGATCAGCAGATGAAGAGCACAAGTCAGTTCTGAAGAGTGAGCTGAGGTTTGCTTGGATGCAAGATCGAGCAGTTCCATCCATTCCGAATACCCATATCTAATCAGCTCATCCCTCTTACAACTTCAGTATATGAGTGCTGAGGACCTTGACGAGTGATCAGCAACGTAAGGATTTTCTCGTTTCGAGGTTTAGAAGCTTTGACTTTGATGATCTTATCTCCACACATTCGCCGATTAAAAACATCTTCAAATCTCTTTCGATCAATCCGGTCAAGAACACTGTCAGTCTTGGGCTTGCTAGAGCTAGGAGGAGGTTGAGAAGACTGAGCCTTGGACTGAAATTCCAGGAACTTCTGCATCTGAGCTTCAAAAGATCCCTTGGCCTGAAGTTTGCTGAATAAGAGATTCATCAGCTTGAGCAATGTTCTTTAGAAGCTGAGCTCGATTGGCTTCATCAAGAATTTGCTTGACTTGATCAGGGGACATGTTCCATTCAGTGGCAAGGTTTGAAATACTGACAATGGACTTGGTTTCTTCACAGTTGAAGAAGTATCAGTTTGAGAATGATCCAAGTCAGTATCTCTACTTTCCGCTTTCGAGACAACGGATGAGATTCTTCACTGGCAATGTCCGAATCCTCTCCTTGGACCGGAATGATGGGATCAGCAATAGGATCGGCTAATATCGGATGAGATTCTTCAAGGTCATCTAAGCTTTCTTGCTGAACTGGAATGAGAGGATCAATGAAGTTCATGTCAAGAATTTGACATTCATCATCAGGTTCATCATGCTCTTCATCATGCTCACTGTCTTCAAACAATTTTTCAGTAGCTGCTGGACTATTATGCCCCGCAGAATCAGATTCATGTTATCATGCTCACTGTCGTCAAATTTTTCAGTAGCTGCTGGACTATTATGCCCCGCAGAATCAGATTCAGGAATGGGGTTGGGTGATTCATGCTGAAAGATAGTGTTGTCACAGGTTCTGTGTCTTTCTCATTTGGTTCACCATCAGCATGAGCATTTGGACATCAGCATGCATCAGCATCAGCATCATCATCAGTATCTCCCCCTTTTTGAACATCATTAGATTTGGGACTAGAGGGAGGAGTAGTAAGAGAACCTCCTTGATTTGTTGAACATCAGCCTCAATACGAAGCAGACGCTGACTCATGTCCCGAGTCAGTGACATCAGTTCAGAAAATGCTGAAGCGGAATTTGAACCATTGAGGTACCTGGAGCAACTGGAGAGCTAGGTTGCATCCTTGGAGAGAAGTGGTGAGCTGCTGGTGATGGATGCTCCCCTGAGATGATGCTCCCCTGAGACTGATGCTCCCCCTGTGATGGTTGCCCCCCCAGAGGCATGGAATCCTGTGGTGCTGAGGAGGCTTTGCCAGTGGCCGAGATGAGGTGATGAGAAAGTTGAGGGGAGAAATGGCCGCCATCATGATGTTCCACCTCTTGATCAGCATGATCCATACGATTACCATCAGCACCTCCTTCATCAGGTCAGCGGTGAGAGAAGGCATAGTGTATGGATGGGCAATCCATTCTCTCATCCTATCAGGATTCCAATGTCAGTATCCAAAGGATCATCCTGATACATACGAACGGACATTCGAGGGCATTGGATTGGATTCCCAGAGTGAGAAAAGTAGTCAACAGTGAAGAATTTGTCGAACACCAGGGCAATCCAGCGTGGAAAGGGAACATGATCAGCACGCACATTTGCACGAAGAAGCTGAACAAGCTGATCAAAGAATAGTGCCCCATAATCTAATCTTTTGTTGAGAAGAAGGAAGCAGAAGACTTGTTGCTCATAAATGCTCAATTGATCACCACTGCGAAACTTGTGGCCCACACACTTGCATAAAGAACCAGTGAAAAACTTCCAGCCTGGGGTCATGCACTACGCAAAATAAGAGCTGATCGAGTACCAGCCTTTGAATGATCATAGCCCAGTTGATCAAACATTCGTTTACATCTTTCAATAGTTGGAGGTTCAGAAAAGGGTTCGAAAATGGTAACCTTAAAGCAGCACTGAGAAGTTCTGCGGTGATGAAGACAGAGTGTCTGCCATGACCAATGGTTCCGGTGATGGCATTGTTTTCTTCATTAACTGTTGCAGTATAGTAAAACTCACATACTTGTTCAGGGAAGAACTCGGACGGTACATCACTGATTGCATATCGGAGGCGGCAAGAAGCCAAGAAATTGACAAAATCATCGAGTCCAAGACCTCGATGAACCTCTGGAATGTCAGGGTTGAAGACGACATTGGTTGCCTTGATGTGAATTGGAAGTGGAGGAGAGTTTGGGGCAGGAACCACTCTTCGAGAGGTTGAGGAGTATGTGAACAGAGATGCCGCCATTGGAGAGTATATGAGAATTCTAGGGTTTTTGAGAAAAGTTCAAGGTTTTAGAAGGAAAAATTAAACCAAGGGAGAAAGAGGTTTAAATATGGAATGAAAAGGGTTTTTTTTTTTTTTTTTTTTTTTTTTTTTTTTTTTTTTTTTAAAAGGTAATAATTATCTCATTAAAAAGGTGATGATTATCTTCATTAAGAATAACGGCGCATCGTAACAAAATCTGTTAGAATAGAAAATAGCCGTTGGATAAAAGAGCCGTTGACTGAAGGTGAAACGTCAATCAGTGTTTGCGGAAGCGCTGAGCTCAGTGTCACAAAAGCTACGTGCTGAGAATATTTCTTCGTCAATTCAAGGTACAACTTGCTTAATCGGGGATAGCAAGGAGATTGGTGCGTGTGATAGATACTAGTTACATTATCTAACCATCGGCACAGAGTGTTGTGACTTCATCAGTGAGTGGTTTATCTTACTGAATCATTAGACACTGAATAAGAGGAGGGTAAAGAATGGATTGTTGCATATGATAAACCTTGGTGTTTTGGTCTAACCATCGGCAAAGATTTTTAGACTCTCATCAGCGTGTGTTTTGGCACACTGAATCACAGAATCAGTGTAAGATTGGTGAGAAGGGGTAGTTGCATGTGATAAATCTTGGTGTTTTGATCTAACCATTGGCAAAGAGTTTCAAGTCATTATCAGTGTATGGTTTAATACAGTGAATCATTCAACTTTTGTTTAAAAGACTTGAAGAAGAGATCAAGATAAGAAATCAAACCAAAGTGCTCAGTAGCAAATATCATCAGTATGTCATCATCAGCACAATGTACATTAGCTTATAAGACAATCTCAAACATTAGCACAATTAAATGTCAAAATTAATTACAAGGAAATCATTCCCAGTTCTCCGATAATGTAAGCAGTTGATTGAGAATCTAGTGCCTTTGTGAAGATATCAGCAAGTTGCTCCGAAGTCTTGACATGTTCAAGAACAACTTTTCCTTTTTCAACATTATCTCTGATGAAGTGATGTCTGATTTCAATATGCTTTGTCTTTGAGTGCTGAACAGGATTTTGTGTGATCTGAATGGCACTGGTGTTGTCACAATATATGGGAGTCTTTGAGAACTTGAACGCATAGTCGAGAAGCTGATTTTGAATCCATAAGAGCTGAGCACAACATCTCCCAGCGACAACATACTCAGCTTCCGCAGTTGAGATGGCTACTGATGTTTGTTTCTTGCTGGACCAGCTGATGAGACGATTTCCAAGGAAGTGACATCCACAAGATGTACTCTTTTTGTCTAAATTGCATCCAGCATAATCTGAGTCAGTGTATCCATAAAGTTCAAATGCTGAGTCACAAGGATACCACAGAGCAAGGTTTTGAGTTCCCTTCAAGTATCGAAAAATACGTTTGACAGCCATGAGGTGAGATTCTTTTGGATTAGCTTGGAATCGAGCACAGAGAATGGTTCCAAACATAATATCAGGACGACTTGCTGTGAGATATAAGAGGGATCCAATCATTCCTCGATACAGAGAGTGATTGACATCAGTTCCAGTTGGATCAGCGTGTATCTTATCAGTCTTAGACACTGGAGTAGAGGCTGGTTTGCAGTCACTGAGAGAATACTTAACAAGCAGGTCAGATATATATTGGACTTTGACAAATGGAAATACCTGTCTTTTGTTGCTGAACTTCAAGACCTAAGAAAAAGGTCATCTTCCCCATCATGCTCATTTCGAACCTTTGAGACATGATCTCTGCAAATTCCTTGCTCAGTGTCTCATTTGGAGAGCCAAAAATGATGTCATCGACATAAATTTGAACAAGAACCATGTCTGAGCCTTTGTTTTTGATGAAGAGAGTATTGTTTGATTGCTCCTCGTCTGTATCCATTTTCAAGCAGATACGATGTCAGCGTCTCATACCAAGCCCTGGGAGCTTGTTTCAGTCCATAAACAGCTTTGTCTAACCGGTACACGTAATCGGGATGATCTTTGTCCACAAAGCCTGGGGGCTGATTTAGGAATACTTCTTCTTCTAACACTCCATGAAAGAATGATGTTTTCACATCCATCTGATAGACAATGAAGTTCATGTAGGATGCGTATGCGAGAAACAGTCTGATAGCTTCAATGCGAGCAACTGGAGCAAAAGTTTCCCCGTAGTCGATGGATTCAATTTGAGTAAACCCTTGAGCTACAAGCCTTGCCTTGTTGCGAGTGATGATTCCATCTTTATCAACCTTGTTACGATAGACCCATCGAGTTCCAGTGATAGTTTTCCCGGATGGTCTTGGGACAAGAGTCCAAACTTTGTGCCTTTCAAACTCATTCAGTTCTTCTTGCATGGCTTTGATCCAATCAGCATCTTGAAGAGCTGTGTGTACTTTATCAGGTAAGATCATTGAAACAAAGTTAACATACATGCAAAAGTTATTAAGTGCACTAGATCTGGTTCGGACACCATCATGAATATTCCCTATAATTCGATCAACAGGATGATCTCGATGTTCAATGACTGATGCTGATTCCAGAGAGATAGACACTGACACATTATCAGTTTCAGGAGAATCTTTAGCTTCAAGGGTTTCATCAACACTTAATGAATTACCTGCTGATGTGGCTGCAATATCTTGATTCTCGAATGGACAAGAGAGAAGCTCTTGAAAGATAGAAGGAAAATGAGTGACTTTTTCAACAGTGTATGATTCCTCATCAAACTTCACATGAATGGATTCTTCAACACATTGCCTATTCACATGAAAAACACGAAAAGCCATTGAAATAGATGAGTACCCAACAAAAATACCTTTATCAGCCTTAGGTTCAAACTTGGATCTTGGGTCACGCTGATTTAGAATATAACAAATACATCCGAACACATGAAAAAAGGATACATCTGGTTTTCGATCTTACAGCATTTCATATGGAGTCTTCTTATGAATCCTGTGAATTAGAGATCGATTCTGAGTAAAACACGCTGTATTGACAACTTCAGCCCAAAACGACATAGGAAGACCAGCATGGATCATCAAGGTTCTTCCTGCCTCAATCAGTGTTCTATTCCTTCGTTCAGCAACACTATTTTGCTGAGGAGTACGAGGAGCTGAGAAGTTTTGTCCAATTCCTTTATTGTCACAAAATTCTTCAAGAGTTGAGTTTCGGAACTCAGTACCATGATCACTTCTTAGTTGCTTAACTTTAAGACCTATCAGTGTTTCATTTTTACGAATCAGTGAGATAATTTCCTGTGCAGCATGACTTTTCTTCTTCAAGAAAACTACCCAAGTAAATCGAGTGAACTCATCAACGACCACTAGAGTATACTTATTTCCACCTAGTGAACGGATAGGAATAGCTCCAAACAGGTCCATGTGGAGTAGATAAAGAGGGACTAATATACTGGAACATGACTTGGGTTTGAAAGAGGACTTGGTTTGTTTTCCTTGTTCACAAGCTGAGCACATCTTGTCTTTCACAACGCTGAATTTTGGGAGCCCTCTAACTAGGTCTTGATTGGATATCTTGGATACATTCTTGAAGTTCAGATGAGAAAACCTTTTGTGCCAAATCCAGCTAAGATTCGTCTGAGACTTTGTAAAGAAACATTGCATCAGTGCCTTGTCACTTGAGAACATGTCAAGAACATATATATAATCTTTTCTACTTGCTGAGAGTACGATGTTCTTGTAAGTGTTTACAACTCTTCCTTCCTTCTTTGTAAAGTGAACTTCATAGTCAGCATCACACAACTGACTGATAGAAATGAGGTTGTGTTTGAGACCCTTTACATATGAAATGTTTTGAAAAACCACGTTATTGCATTTGATGTTTCCATATCCCTTAGTGAACCCATTTCCATTGTCTCCATAAGTAACTGCAGGACCAGTTTTTTTAACATAATCTTCCTGGAGAGACTTTGATCCCATCATATGCCTTGAGCAACCACTATCTAAATACCAAAGATGCTCCTGACCCTGCAATACTGAGAAACTAGTTAGAACACACTGACCCATTCAAAGATGGGTCATTCACAAAGTTATTTGATAATAGATTATAACACTCCTTAGGAAGATAGTTTAAAGAGTTTGACTTAAGAGTCCATTTTTCATTTCTAAGTTTAATATTTTCAGCTCTTGAGGATGATTTGTCAAAAGAACATTCACTGATCTTGTGAGAGGAATTACCACATCTGTAGCAAACTCTAGTACCAAAGTTCTTCTTGGTGAGCAAATTTTTTGATTTAACACATTTTGACATGTAAGATTCACCAAGAGAGGTTTGAGTCCTTTTGCTTATCATTGAGTCACGACTGAATTCAGTATCAGGAGGAGTTTGATCAGTGTTAGGTGATAAATATCAGTATCTGATTTTGACTCATTCACAGATGGATTGCAATCAAGGAAGTGCTTGAGTTGTTCATGAACAGCATGAAACACTCCATTTGAGATAGGAAAAGCAATAATATTCTCAGTTAGAGGGATTGGTCTAACAAGATGTGCAGGATAAGAGGTAGGATCAATTCTGGTAATTTCAACATTACACTCAGTGATACCATCAGAATTAGTAATGCAATATTCATCAATTAAACTTTGATTAATAAAAGAGTTACTGACAAACTTATTTTTAAAAACTTTTTCAGCTTCTGCAAAATTACCCCCAAGAATTTTCTCACAAGAATGTGGAATTTGAGCTGAAATAATATAATTAGCATTCTTATGAGATTTTGCCCAAGTGTGAAGCACAGTTTGTTCTTTGATCAAAAGATTTTTAACATCATCAATTTCAGCAGACAAAGATGAATTTGACAAACTAGTAATTCTAAGATTTTCCTGAGTGGACTTAATAATACTATTTTTCATGGATATATCAGTTTCAAGAAGATCAATTTGATTTTGCAAATTTCTTATGGTTTGATTCTTCTTAGAATTAATGACACCCAAATACTCAAACATTTTGATTTTTTCATTCATTGAATAGGAAACAAAGTTTTTAAC